AGCCACATCCCCAACCCTTTATTATTTTTTATTTTGAGACAGGGTCTTGCTGAATTGTTTATGGCCTTGCTAAGTTGCTGAGGCTGGTCTCGAACTTGCCATCCTCCCCTGCCTCAGCCTTCTGAACCACTGGGATTACAGGCATGAGCCACTGGGATTACAGGGGACCGCCACCATGCCTGGTTCATACAGCATTTGAGTGTCATGTTAAGGATTTTTACTTAATTTGCAAAGCAGTGGGGAGCCCATGCTGAAGCAAAAGCTTGCCCATCCTGAAGGTTAATCTGGCATCTTTGTGGGTGCTGTGTTGGCATGCTGCAAGCCTGCAAGTGGAGGGGACAGTGAAGAGTCCTTTCAGAAGAAGCACAAGTGACAACTGTGGTACAGGAAGAGTAGTTGACTAAATGAGGGCAGGCACAATCCAGGAGAAAATCAGCAAAGAGTTGAGGAATAGACTCTGGTAGAAAGACTGTTCCTTGAAAGTAAGCCATTTCTTTGGGCAATTTATGAAGCTCAAATATAACATTGTCGGAATGAACTGCCTTCCATTAAGCCTGGCATCTTCTAGGACACCTTGGGGTTGAGGGAGCACTTGACTCCCCAACTTCTAACTTTTGAAACTCAAAACAAAATGGAGTGAAGGGTTTATTTCCACATGGAAGCCTTGAGCACATTTCAGTAATCACAGGGAGATTAAAGCAAGGAGAGTGATTAGTGCTGACAGCAAAATAAGATCTAATAAAAAAGATGAGTGTACGGATTCCAAAGTGACAAGAAGAATGTGGGGTGGTGGGGGTGGAAGTGAAAAACTCCAGGCTGTGCTCATCTCTGTATCCCAAGCTAGATCCATGTTGTGCACGCTGCTGCGGAGCCTGGGGCACCCATCTTCTGCCATAAAGAACAATGGCACTCTCCTTCCAGATGTTGAAACAGACTAAATAACCATTTTCCACTGGCAACTCTGACAGCCAAACTATTTGAAATCACACCAGCTCTGGATGAACTAGAGGCCCAGCTGGTCCCTTGGATACCAACTGCAGGAAAAAAATCATGGCAATAGTGTGAAATTGAGCTGTGTTCCCTGATAAATTTCACTGGGTTGACCGGAAGCCACAGGACAGTGACCAGCATGTGGGGCACACACACATCATACCTCAAACCTGACCTGTGCTCCTGGAATGCTTTGAATCAGCAAGAGTTTTCTCCCAAGGCTGGATGAAAACCAGAGGTGAAATCCAGTTATGTTTTCCTTGGAAAATACTCTCTCTGCTGCTCCTTTATAAGGAAGCACTGAGTTCATCCTTTTTAAAACCACTACTATTAAAACGTTGTTTCATGTCCTAATTTTACCTCATGTTCCCTGACATTGTGCTAATATTTAATTCCCTCTAATAAATTTGTATTTTAAAAGCTTAGTGCCAGCAGGGCATGGTGGCACATGCCTGTAATCCCAGCTACTTGTGAGGCTCAGGCAGGAGGATCACAGGATCCAGGCCAGCCTGGGCATTTGGCAAGTCCCTGTCTCAAATAGAATAAAAACGGCTGGGGATGTAGCTCAGAGGTAGAGCAGCCCTGGGTTCAGTCCCCACTGCTGGGGCAGGGGGAGAAATCTTAGTGCCAAACAAACCTTTTCTCTTCAGGTAGTCAAAATGGGTCCAATAATATCTACATATCTACATATTTATCACAGAATCATGAATATGAGAACTAAAAGAAGACCAAGGCCATCTAATCCAACCATCTCATGCCACATAGCAGGACACAGAAGAGAAAGATGGCAAGGCAAGATTTTTTTTTCAACAATGAGGGACGGGAAAGGGAATTGTGAGGTGTCAGACCTGTGATCTTTGGGAACACTAGATCACTGAAAGATTTGCTCTTCTGTGGGCCTTTGAGATGAGCAAGGGTGGCCCTTTCAGCCTGAAGAAGAGCTGAAGAGACCGATTCCTCAGTCAGACTGATTTCTTAGAATCAAAATATAGCAAGGAAAACAATTGTCAAGTTAGCAGTATTTTAAAACAAACTTTCAGCAGTTCAAGACTCCTGCTGCTGGCAATAGCTGCCCAATGGGGAAAAACAATTGCAGAAATAAAAATTCTTACTTTTTTTTCTTTTCAGACATAGAATAGGGAATACATTGATAAGTAAGAGCAGGAATCATGATAATTAAATTGTCCAAAAAACAAATGTATGCATTTCATGAAATGTTTTGTTTTGTTTTGTTTATGCAGTGCTGGGGATTGAGTCCATCATGAAATATTCTTAAAATAGATGGTTTCCTTATGTACATATACAATATTATATATTTAAGTATTGTATATGTTTGTGTGTGTCTAAAGACGCTTATTCTCACCATTTTTCCCTGTAGGCCAGATGTGATTAAATTAACCTTCTGCTGGAATATTGTTGCTCCTTAAAGTTTTAAATTTAATAATCAGAAATATTTTCTTTTTTAAAAAATAAAGGTTGAAAGCCATGTGTTTTGGGGCTTTGCTGGGAAAATCACCTCTCCCAGAACGAAGGTTGGGTCTTTCTGAGTTTGAACAAACTACAAACACAAAACTAGCCTTTTGATAGAGACACTTGGTCTCATCTCTAAGTCTTCCTTGAGTCATGAGAAAACGTAGTGATCAGTTGTGCATCAGCAAACAGTGAGGGAAAGCTTCCAGCTGTCACACCTATAGCAAGACTCGATGTCAAATTGGGTCTTCAAATCTAGTTTTTTTAGATATGGTGCCCTAATTTTTTTAAGGTTGCTACTAGTGAGCAGCTGAGCAGCACAGAGTACAATTTACTCCTTCCCAGGTTCAGTAGCAACTGAAATGGTCAATCATGATGGTTTTAAAACAAAATTGGTTTGGTTTTCCTTTGTTTTTTTGCAGAACTTGGAATTGAACCCAGGATTGCTCGATCACTGAGTTACTTACCCAGCCCTTTTGAATTTTTATTTTGAGACAGGGTTTCAGTTAGTTGCTTCAGCTGACCTGGAACTTGCCTGTCTCAAATTTTTGCCAAAAATAAATAAATAAATACATAAAATGGGTACATCTGAAGTGAAGTCAAAATAGTACAGCTCACACAATGAGAGAAAATATTTGCAAATCATATATCTGATGAGATTGATGTATAGAATATATATATGTATATATACTATACATGTATATATTCCTGCAACTCAATGATAACAACAAAACCAATTTAAACTAAGCAAAGAAGTTGAATAGACTTTTCTCCAAAGGAGATATACAAACAACCAATAAACACATGAAAAGGTGTTGAACATCAGCAATCACTGGGGAAAAGGAAATTGAAACCACTATAAGATACCCATTAGAATGACAATTATTTAAAAAAAAAAACAAACAGAAAATAACAACCCTTGATGAAGATGTGGAAAAACTGAATTGCTCATACATTACTACTGAAAATGAAAAATGGTGCAGCTACTATGGAAAACATTATTCAAGTTCCTCAAAATATTCAACATTGAACTACCATACGAACCAGCACTGGGAATATATATCCCAAACAATTAGAAGAAGGGTCTCCAACAGACATTTTTATGCCCATGCTCACAGCAGCATCATTCACAATAGTCTAAAGGTAAAAACAACCTACATGTCCACTGATAGAAAAAGGGATTTAAAAAATGTGACACAGAAATACACACAGGAATATGATTCTGCCTCTAAGAAAAAACAACATGAAGAAGAAAATTCTGAGGTATTCCATAATATGAATGAACCTTGAAGACATTCTTTTAAGGTGAAGTAAGACAGTCACAGAAAGGACAAATAACCATATGATCCTAGCCATACAAAATACCTGGAGTAGTCACATTCAATAGAGACAGAGGCAGAAGAGTGGCAGGAGGGTGCGATGGGCAGTTGATGTGTAAGAGGAATAGATTTTCAGTTTAGGATGATGAAAACATTCCGGAAAAGGACGGTGACGATGGGTGCACAACCCTGGAATATTTGATGCTACTGAACTGTACACTTAAAAACGGCTAAAATGATAACCTGATAGGTTGTACCTGTTTTACCAGTGCATGCACATGCGCATGTGTACACATGCACACCAAGTGTCTGGTCTTGTTCATCCATAGCCACCTCCTAAGTGAGTTCACGGGTGCTGTAACACCTTTCATCTACTTTCCACCAACTGTTCTCACAATGACATTCTCCTCAAGATCGAGGTCAGGACAGAAGACTGGATGATCACCGTCAGCAGCATGAATTTGTGCTTCTAGATACTTCCCTGGAAGCCCTAGTGGGAACTGTGTCTCCAGGAACACAAGGAATCATGATCCCCCAGCAGGAGGTCCCAAGACTGAAGAGAAGTAAATGCCTTCCCAGAGTAGGAGGCTTCGCTCACTCCTCTAGCCAGTGTCTCCCTGGCATCAATTTCAACTTGGAAGGCTGGTTTCCAGGGAAAAATGCCTCACCCCCCTCTGAAGGTTGTGACAGCTGAGAAAGATTAAGGAGCCACATTAGCACCTTGAGTGGGGGGCACCTAAGTCTTTACTCTCCTTCTCTTTCTCATTCTTCACTGTATTAAAAATCTCTTTGTTTTTTCTACCCATAAACATGGCTTCCTACCCCCACTTTATCATGCTAGTGAAATACACATATGTTTGGGAACTTTTAAAAGTACTTTAAAGAGAGTGCCTCAATGAATCCCAGCTTATAGAGGAGACAGCAAGCCTATGAGGAGAATAAATGCAAATGCAGACCAGGCTGTGGAAGGCTAGCACATGCTGACAACCACAAATAGCACAGCCTTCAGCCCCTAGCATTGCAGACAAATGCTTCCTGCCCAGGCACTGTCTCCTCCCTCTCCCTTCATTTCTGGTCTTGCTGTTGCTCAGAATGCCAGCCTGACTCCTCACTTTAGGAAGTTTGACCCCAGGTCAACCTGACCATTTCCCTGGCTTCATAACTCATGTGCATTTCAGATGACATCAGCAACAAAGGCATGTTGGGATGTTTCCCATTTAGGATCCATGAGGTTGACGTTATGGGGCAAACAGCCTTTGAGACCACTGGGAAAGCAACTGTGCAGCCAGGCCACATTTGAGCATCTCAGCCCTGGAAGTACGTTTGAAGAACACTGTTGGTAAGTTGGTTTTCACTGACACTAACAACTTCATGTCTGCCAATGACAACGTTTACAGTAAGAAGTTGGTGACACACCCATTGTCCTGCAGTGAAATCATGAATTGGCACACTCCAGCCCTCTTCAAGAGTTTCCAACCCCCTTTCTTACTGCCTCTCCTCTAAACATGAACTGACAATGTAAGGGTCACAGATGTTTGAGGAGAGCTTCCAATACAAGAGAGAAGAAGGAAAAAGGGACTCAAAGGAATCAGACAGCACAAAGTGTTAGGGGGAAATATTAAAAGGTCATTAGCATCGTCAGGGAGAAAGGAGAAGATCCTTAAAATGAGAACAAATACTGCATACACACATGAAACAAATCAAGACAGAACTTTTAGAAATTAATTGTCATCAATGTTTGATTGGGGTTGTGAAAGGGTCCTTCATCCTTCTTCCTTGAGGATAAATCTGGCTACTATATGGCAAATGTAGTGAGTATGAAAGATTAATACTGTGCCACTCAACTGAACCAAGAAATAGAGTTCATTTTCCATCATGATGTGAAGGGAGCTGAAGAATTCTTGGAAACTCCAGATAAGCTGATTGTGGAGAGAAATCACTTGCAGAACAGATCTTAAATATGGATGAAACCTCCTTATTCTGTAAACCGGGTCTGAAAGGTCTATCATCCTTAAGGAGGCCAAGTCCATGCCAGGCTTCAAGGCTTTTAAAAGCAAGATGATCGTCTTGCTTGGAGGCCATGTTGCTGGCTACAAATGGAGACACTCTGTGATGGGTCACAGTGAAAAACCCAGACCCCTCAAGCATATCAATAAGCACAACTGCCAGTTGAGCAAAAAGAAGTCAGGGATAGCCCAGATCCTCTTCCAACACACCCTCTTGAGTTGGTGTGCCAGAGAAATGGAGAAATACTTCCCAGAAAAGAACATATTTCTCAAGATTTTGTTTATTATAGATGATGCTCTTGCCCATCCTGCTTTTATTTGTGGGCTTCATCCCAATGACAAAGTCGTTTTTTTCTCCTTCCAAACACCCCCTTGGACCCAAATGACAAATTAGGGCTTACAGCAGCTTTTAAGGCCTGATACCCGTGGAGAACCTTTGCCCAGGTTCTTGCTGCAAATGAGGAAGACACTAAAAATACTCTGATACAACATCAATGACTGTATCAAGAATCTTGCTTGGGCTTGGGATGATGTCACCACAGAGTGTAACATCTGGAAGAAGACACTCAAAAGGTTTGTCCATCCTTCAAAGGATGAGGAGATTGCAAAAATCAGCCAGGCGGTGGTTGAGATGGAAAACTTTAACTTGTGGACAAAAATGACATTGAGAAGCTCCTACAGGTGACTCTTGAAGCGCTGGCTCAGGAGGAGTTGTTGAGACCTGGATCAGGAATGCTGAGCGGAAGAAGAGGCAAGAGAAAAGGAAATTTCATGAGAAGAAAAAGAATTCCCCCTCCCCTAAATTCATACCAAAGCATTTAGCAGAAGATTTTGCAAACCTCATAGATCACCTTAAAAAAACATAGACCCTTACAAAAAAAGTTTTCTTTAATAGAGAAGCATGTTTATAGTGCATTATCTGCTTAGCAAATCCACAGTGGAATTAAGAAATGAACCAAGCAAACCATATGGACATATTTCTGAAAAGAATAATACCACTCAAGAGGAGCCTCAGGTAATTCCTTTAGGAGGGATTGCAGAAGAAGTCATTGTTATCACAGGAGGTGACAGCTCCATGTGTGTAATTGGCCTGGAAGACCTTCCAGTGGGACAAGAATGGAGGTAGAAGACTGTGACATTGATGACGCTGAGCTTGTGGAGGCCTACACTGATGTGTGGGTCTGTGTTTTAGTTCTATTTTTGTATTTTTTGGTGGGGTGGGTGAGTACCAGTTGCTTAGCCCCTCACTTTTGCTGAGGCTGGCTTTGAACCTCAATATCCTCCTGTCTTAGCCTCCCGAGCCACTGGGATTATAGGCATGCACCACTGCAACAGCTGTGTCTTACACCTCTTAACAAAAAAAAAATTTTAAGTTTTTAAAAATTAATTTTAAAATAGTCTGCACTGGAGCACAGTAATGTCTTGGGCCTTCACACTCACATTCTCTCACTAACTCACCCAGAAATGCCCAGTCCTGCAAGCTCCCCTCATGGTAAGGTCCTATACAGGTGTGCCATTTATACTTTTCATACCTATTCTTATTGTACCTTTTCTACATTTAAATGCACATATAGTTCCTATTGTATTGCAGTTGCCACATGGTGTACCGGTTTATAGCCTAGGAGCAATAGGCAATGTACCATATATCCTAGGTGTGTAATAGACTGTACCATCTGAGTTTGTGTGAGACTCAGTGCTCACTTTACTATCCTGTCATGAATGGTGATTCTGGAATTGCTTAAACCGGAATCAACAAGAAATTCAACATCATGGCTTAATCTAGTTTTTTCCTTCAACACTGTGAACACACTTTTCTCTTTGGCTAGAAACATCATGGTGCCAAAAAGGAACACTTCCATGTCTGGTCTTTAATTCAGGTCCTTAGAAGTTTCTGCATTTCTAATGCAGGACCTGCTCTAATTTGTGTGTGTGTGTGTGTGTGTGTTTTGTTGTTGTTATTATTGTTGTTTTTTGGTACCGGGGATTGAACTCAGGGCTGTTGACTACTAAGCCATATCTCCAACCCTATTTTGTATTTATTTAGAGAGAGGGACTCACTAAGTTGCTTAGTGCCTCACTTTTGTTGAGGCTGGCTTTGAACTTGTGATCCTCCTGCCTCAGCTTCCCGAGCTACTGTAATTACAGGCATGTGCCACCATGTCTATCTAAATTCTGTTATTCTTATTTCCTTCAATGAAGCAGATCCTTTAATGGTTTCTATCACTTTGCTCTCATTCTTCAAGATTGTTCCTGTGAGGCTGGGTGTGGTGGTACACACTTGTAATCGTGGTGGCTCGGGAGGCTGAGGCAGGAGGATCCTGAGTTCAAGGTCAGCGTCAACAATTTAGCAAGGCCCTAAGCAACTTAGTGACTGCCTGTCTCAAAATAAAAAATTTGAAAAAAAAGGGGTGGGAGCTGGAGATATGGCTCAGCGGTGAAGCACCCCTGAGTTTAATCCCTGGTACCAAAAAATAAAGAATTTTTTAAAAAATGATTGTTGCTTTGGTGGGATGGAATATGCCTGACTGGGGAGAAACAACCATCACTAATGTTCCACCTCCATAGTCCTCCATTTTATTTTCATTTCCAAGTCAATTGCTCAGCAACATTAGCAGTGGATATTATTTGCTTAGGGGCCATGATGAACAAAATAATATGAGGTTAAACCATGTGCAAGAGAAAATGAAACAATTGAGAGACAGGCAAACATGAAAATAAGATCTATGAAGTTGCTGCCAGAGTAACACAGCATTCCGTTTTATAGTAAACTCTTTTAAATTAGAAAGGCTACACATTACAATCATGATGAAAAAGTATAGTGTAGTAAATACATAAACCAGTAGCACAGTCATATTGATCACGTTATCAAATAGCAAGCTCTGTACATAATCATATGTGCTTTGCTTTTATACAACTGGTGCACAGTAGGCCTGTTGACACCAGCGTCCTCACAAGCAAATGAGGAACACATTTTCCAATGACATTATAATGCCTGTGATGCCACAAGGCAATAGGAATATTGTTAGCTTCATTATGATCTTATGGGACCACTGTCACATCTGGTGTCCCTTGTTGACTGAAATGTCATTGCATGATGCATGACTGTACATGACATTCTGGAAAAGGCAAACTATAGAAGCAGTAAAAAGACATTAGTTGCCAGGGGAATGGGGTAAGAAAAGAAAGCATAAAATAGGTGAAGCACAGCGGGGTTGGGGGCAAGGAAAGTGCTCTGTATGATATTGCAACGGTGGACACATGTCATTGTGCATTTGTCTAAACTCAGAGAATATACAACACCAAGGGTGAATGCTAATGTAAACTATGGACTTCAGTTAATAAGGTACCAGTAGTGGCTCTCATTATAGGAGCTCTAGGTAGTTTTTGCTCAATTTTTCTGTAAATCTAAAATTGCTTTTTAAAAAAGTCTATAAATTTTTAAAAACATAATGAGAAATGTTTAAGAAACACCAATGCTTGGCCATATACCAGAGGCTCTGATTTAGTTTGTTTCTAGTAGCTTGTGAGAGTTTTCATGTAGAAAGTATGAGGTTTAAATCCACAGATTCTTGCCAAAGAACAAGATCCCCTAAATTCACATTAGGAAGACAGGCCTTTTGACCCCAACTGGTGAGCATCATGAAAGAAAAACACACAGACTTACTGATACTTTAGTAAATCACAGAAGTGGAGATGGTTAGAAACCAAGACCCTTGGCACTGTGAGTCTAAGGCTTAATGAGTCACAAAAGCACTGCTGGGGAGTGGCTTCAGGTACAAAATTGTCAGAGATTCAGAGAAGTGTGTGTGTGTGTGTGTCTCTGTGTGTGTGTGTTAAATTTCTTGGAAGTGCTCAGGAAGGACTTTGTTTCTGAACAAAGTCCAAAATCCAGATTTGCTTTGAGTTCTAGTTTATAGCAATTTCCTTAAGGGTGACTAAAACTAAAAGTAAGCTCACCTTTCACTTTAGGGCTTCTTGTATCCTTCTTGGACTTTTCTTCCTGCATTCCAGATTTCTGCTGTAGCCCATTCCTTGGTTAATGAGCCTTCAAATGGCCCTGTTTCCCCTGGCTTCCCTCCCGCAGGACCCAACACTCTGGCATGATTTGCTCTATTATACAGGTTTAGAATCTCACTTCAATCCATGTTCTCTTCTGGTTAATCAGATTAAGTACACCACATTGTTATAATGGAGGATAATGGGTTATTATGTTACTCCTTTCAACAACTGACAGAATGCATCAAGTGCCTCCATACTGTTCCTGTTTTGTAACCCAGTAATTCCATAAAATGTCAGCAAAGCATTATCCATAAGGGTGTTTGCTTTA